CCAGGCAGCACTGTGCTGATCTCCAAGTGCTCGCCACCTTCAGTGAATGGGCTGTGCCCCATTCAAAGGGATTTAAGGTCAGCCCTGTACTGGCAGCTGGTCACTTGGCAAGACAATCTACTGGGGGACTGCCGTGGAATGTTTCAAGGTCAGTTTTATGTTGTTTATATCTCTGTGTGCAAAAACACAGTGTCTCTGGACCTCATGGTTTAGAATCCATTCTAGTTGGTGATTGCCAGCTCATGAATGATCTGTTCTGTAAGTGCGTAGGTTAAACTTTTGTTTTGTATTCTATAAAAGTTTCTCCCCATCGTCCTCACCCACAGTTCATTCTCAAAGTGGCCCCTTCTGTGTATCCTTAGTTATAGTTTTCAAGGATGGTTGTTCTTTAGTTGTAATTTCGATGTGGTCATGACGGGAGGCAAACACAGTGTTTACCTACTCCACCATGTTGACCAGAATTCCTGGGATTGTTTTTTTAACTTTTCTTTCTGATAGTTTGCTGTCAGTGTATGAAATACAACTGGTTTTTTAATATTAATTTTGTATCCTACTACTTAATTCACTTATCAGTTCTAACAATTTTTTGTGAAATCTTTAGGGTTCCCTGTATATAGTATCATGTTATCTGCAAACAATGACAGTTTTATTTCTTCCTTTGCAATTTGGATGCCTTTTATTTCTTGTCTGATTGCTGAGGCTATGACTTACAATATTATGTTGAATAAAGTGAAAGTGGACATACTTGTGTTATTCCTGATTTTAAAGAAGAAGCTTTCAACTTTTCACCATCTAGTATGATGTTAGCTGTAGGTTTGTCATATATGGCCTTTATTATGTTGAGGTATGTTCCCTCTGTCCCCACTTTGCTGAGAGTTTTTATCATACATGGATGCTGGGTTTTGTCAGATGCTTTTTCTGCATCTATTGATATGGTCATATGATTTTTATCCTTCATTTACTTATATGGAATATCACGTTAATTGATTTGTGTCTATTGAACCGATCTTGCATCCTGGGAATAAATCAGACTTGATCATGGTGTCTGATCTTTTTAATGTATTGCTGAATTCAGTTTGCTAATATTTATTGAGGATTTTTCCATCTATGTTCATCGGGGATACTGGCCTATAATTTTCCTTTTTTTGTAGTATCTTTGTATGGTTTTGGTATCAGGGTAATGAGAACCTCATAAAATGAGTTAGGGAGCCTTCCTTTCTCTTCACTTTTTTTGGAATAGCTCGAGAATGATAGGTGTTAATGTCTCTTCTAATGTTTGGTAAAATTTACCTATGAAACCATCTGGTCCAGGACTTTTGTTTGTTGGAAGTTATTATTATTATTACTGATTCCATTTCATTAGTAGTTATCAGTCTGTTTAGATTTTCTGTGCCTTCCTGATTCAGTTCTGGAAGATTGCATGTTTCTAGGAATTTACCTTTCTTTCGGGTTGTCCAATTTGTTGGCATATGTTTGAAATTTTTTCTTATAATCTTTTGCATCTGTGTGGTGTATGTTGTCATTTTCCTCTTTCATTTCTGTTATATTTATTGAATCCTTTCTCTTTTTTCTTGATGAGTGGGTAAAGGTTCATCAATTTTGTTTATCTTTTCAAAGAGCCAGCTCTTGATTTCATTCACTTTAGCAGGGCTTTGATGCCAGCCGTGGCCGCCCTTTGGATGTGTCATTTGTGGACCTGGTTGGGTGGTGCTCTGGTATGGTCTGGTGTATTGGGTCTGGAACCTTTTGGGAGGGGCTCTGGTATGGGTCAAAGTCAGCTGCCACTTGTGCCGGGCTTGGTGCTTCTTGGTAGGAGCTGCAAACTGGGTTGCAGTTGGTTGCTGTTTGTGCTGGGTTTGGAGGTGTTGGAGAGAGGCTACACAGCGACAGAGGCTGGCTGCCACTTCTGCCATGCTCGGTACCCTTTGATGGGCACTACAATGTGGGCTGAGGCCAGCCGCCACTTGTGCCTGGCTGTGGCCTCTTAATTGAAGCTACATTACTGGCCAAGACTGGCCATTCCTTATGTCAGCCTTGGGGCCACCTGATGGACACAATAATGCAAGTTGAGACCAGTTGCCGCTGGTACTGGGCCTAGGACCACTTGGCAAGAGCTACAGTGCATGCCAAGGCTGGCCGCTGCTTTTTGGGGGTTTGCAGACGTTTGAGAATGTCTGCAGTACAAGCCTAGGATAGCCACCACTCGGGTGGTTTGCGGTTTTCAGGGAGAGTCCACTGTGTGAACCACAGATGGCCACGTGTGGGGAGCCGCTTGCCAGGTGAGCAAGGAGGAAAGTTCAGAGTTTACCTACTCTGCCTTCTTGACTGAGAATTTTATTTTTTCCCCTCAATCTCTTTGCTGTTTCCATTAGGTGCTTTCCACTACCTTGTCTTTCAGCTCACTCTTCTGTACCAACTCATCTGCTGTTGACTCCCTCTAGTGTATTTTTTGTTTCAGTTGTTGTATTATTCACTTCTGATTGGTTCTGTGTTTTCTGTTTGTTGATGTTCTTCTCCCTGAGTTCATCTATTCTCCCAAGTTTCTGTTTCATTTAGTTATTTTTTGGGACTTTATCCTAGTTTTTTGTTTAGAACATATTTTTTTTTGTTTCCTCATTTTGTTCTATGTTTGTTCCTATGAATTAGGCAGAACAGCAGCCTTTTCCAGTGTGGAAGGAGTGGGCTTTGGAGGGGTAATGTTTGGGGGTTGCAGGAAGGCCTGGGGGCAAGCTGTGGGGAGTCCTTGGGACAAGCCTCCTGTTGGGGCTGCCTTGTTAGACCAAGTGGGGCTTTACTTTGAGCCAACTAAGGCCATGAGGCCCTGGGGTCAAGCCTCACTGGGTTGTCTTGGCAAGCTGGCTTGCATGGTAGGTGGAAGGGGTTTGATCTGTAGGTGGAACAGGCTCACACTGTGGGGAGTCCCAGGGGCAAGCCATACTGAGGCCTGGAGTGGAGCAGGCACAGGCCGCGGGAAGTCCCAGGGGCAGCCTGTGTCATCACCACCTTGGCAGGCTGGTTGAAGCTGTAGTTGGAGTGTCTCAAGCCACGGGGAGCCCCCGGGGCACTCTGCACCAAGGCCTGGAGCTTTATTTAGCTGTGGTTGGTGTTCGCTGCAAAGAGACCCAGGAGCAAACTCTTCCAGGGCTGCCTTAGCAGGCTGGTTGGAGCTGTTGCTGGCCTGGTCTGTGGGATATTCTAGGGACACACCACACAGAGGTGAGAGCTAATAGCTAGAGCAGGGGTGAGCCATGGGGAGTTCCTGGGGCACCTTGTCAAGTCTGCTGGAAGCTGGAGCTGAAGCAGAACATGGGGAGACGGGGGTAAGCCCTGCCAGGCCAAGAGCTGTGGCCAGAGATGACAAGAGCCATGGGGGGTCCTGGGGACAAGCCGAGGAGGTGGTGTGGGCCTGGTGTACACTCCAACAGCCTTGACCAGCTTGCTAGAATGCCTGGGCCTGGGTCATGGTCCTGCCATGTGGTCAAAGAGGAGAGAGAGGGCAATGAATGGTGCTCCTCTCAGTTCTCCTCCGTTTGGCAGATGCCCTCAGGTGGGTTAGTAAATGGATGTCCCTCCCATGCAGTGTAGAGGCCTCAAAGCACTCTTTTCGCACCGTGCCCAGGGCGGGTGAGCCTGCGCGTGAGCTCTTCGGTGACACTCCCTTCTGCACGTATGCTGGAGGTATTCACAGTTCCATGTTTCCATCCTGCCTGTTCCTCTGTGGTCTCGTGTTCAGTCAGCTCTCAGTCCCTCAAGAGTGGCTCTGTCTGTGGGTATAAATCCGACGTGTTCCTGCGGGGAGATGAGTCAGGGTCGCACTGACCTCACCTTGGACTGGAGGCCAGTGGAGTTCATTCATTCATAATGTCACTGAGTGGGCCATGCTGTAGGACACTGGCCTCAGCTTGAGTGAGCCTTCTTCTGGTGAGACAGTCACTGGCCACTGTTTCCTTCCTAGTTCCTCCCAAGTCCCTGGCCTTTCAGTAGGGAGTCACCAGGTCTTAAGCCTTGGACCTGTGCCCTGTCTATGCTCACTCTGTGGGCGACGTCATGCAGGCCCGTAATTTTGTCACTTATACCCTGAAGAGTCTGCATCTCCAGTTTGGCCCTCTTCTCCAAGCTCTAGACTTCAGGTGCTTCTCACCCCATCCTGATTGGTGTCTCCCATGTATCAGGGCCAAACCCAAACTCCTGTGCATCTCCTTTCTGCCCCCAGCCAGTCCCACTTCAGTTAATGGCAGCTCATTCTGCTGTTTAAGGCAGAAATCTCAGTCATCCTTGATTTTTTTCTCATACTCTACATCCAAAACTTAAATCCTAATGGCTCTGCCTTCTAACTACACTGTATTTCACATGTGACCACCCCACAGCCACAACCCTGTTCCTCTCTGTCACAGTGGCCTCCCACCTGGTCTTCCCACACCCACTCTTGTCCCTGTAGTCTGTTCCCCTGTTGGCAGCCAGAGGGACCTGATGAAAACAGTCAGACATTGCTGTGTGAACTGTGTGGTAACTTATTTCACCGAGTAGAAGCCAGAGGTCTTCAAGTGGCCACAGGCTCTGTAAGATCTGTTTCTTTTCTGATGTCTTTTTCTGATTTCCTGCTACTCTGCTCACTTGTTCCCTGCACACTGGTCCCCTCACCCATTCCTCAGACAGGCCTGGGCACCCTGCCGCCTGCTGGAACTGGCCTCCCCACTGCCTGAAATGCTCAGCCCCAGCACTTTCCATCCCTGCCCTGGAGTCTTTACCCAGATGCTTTCCCGTAACCATCATATCTGACATTGCACTTCAACTCTTTATTCTCTGTCTTTCACTGCTTTTTCTCCACAGCACCAGCTGATACACGTTATTGCTGTCAGCCCACGCCCATGCGGTAAAAGGCAGTGGTGTTTTTTTTTTCTGTGCCATTTCCCACTGTATCTCTAGTGTCTGCAGTCATGCCTGGTGCGTAGAAGGTGGTCGGCAGACATTACAGAATCAGCTGTAACTTTGCTCCTCAGGTTTATCTCAAACAAGTACTTAGTGAGGCGGCAGAGCAGAGACTGTGACGTGGAGTGGGGCTACGCCTTCGACGTACACCTGAATGCTTTTTATCCTCTCCTAGTCATTCTGCATTTCATCCAGCTTTTCTTCATCAACCGTAAGTAGCAGTTACCTCTGACATTATCAGTCTTCATGGTATGCACTGAAGTGGTCACTGTCTCCCTCTCTTCGGCAGATGTCATCCTGACAGACACGTTTATTGGATACCTGGTTGGCAACACCTTATGGTTGATTGCAGTTGGCTATTACATCTACGTAACCTTCCTGGGGTACAGTGGTGAGTACTTACTTTTTCTGGCTGATTGAAAACACGACAGGGAGGAGGCAGGTTGGTGTTCACAGTAACAGCTTACTGTTACAGAGCACTCATAGACACTGTCCTCAAGTACTTTATGTGAATAGTGTCCTTCTTCACAATTATATAACACAGGTTTCCTTATCCCCGTTTTTCAAATGAGGAAACCAGCACAGAGACTAAGGAACTTGGCTATGGTCACACATCTGGAAGTGGCATAGCTGGTATGTAACGCTTTTTATAATTTCAAGGAAGCACATTAAGCCATGCTGACGATCTCCAAGGTGGAGCCCACCGCCAGTTCCCACCCCTCTTCCCCAGGCTTTCAGCTTCCGAGTTACCAGCAGTGGGCGACAGTGAGGAGACAGGCCTGGGGTAGGTTAACGGGCACCTAGGCCTATGAACTTCAGTGTTAGACCCTCTGCCCCATTTCTCATGTTTCTGATCACTGCGTGGCTTTGCAGAGAGAGGATCACAGAGGATCTGGCCCACCTTCTGCTGACCTCAGTTTGCAAATTTATTGTTAAATCCTGCTGTCAGTTCATTTTTTGTAACGTGAATGAGAAACAGTCACATTATTCTTCAGTTGTGTTAAGTAATCTCCATTAAATAGAGATGAATGGAATCTGGAGATCTCACTTATAACTTATTAGTGTTATATTTTTTTTAACCCTTCCTGCCGTGTCATTCTGGCTGACTAGGACCTTATTGTAAACACAGAGCGCTTGCCCTCACCTGGGACTGGCTCCTGTGGTCAGAGCTGCCCCACCCCCACCCTCTTAGCTGCTTTTCCAGAGAGGCCGCTTAACCCCTCAAGGGTAATACCTTGTTTGGGGACTGGGAGTCTTTCTCTAGTTTGGGGGAAAGGTGTGTGCCGTGTCATGTTGTGATTAGCGCGCTGCAACACTGGTTTCTCTGAGTGGGTTTCTGATCACCCTCCTGGTGACCCTGTAATTTTAGAACAGTTTTGAGACTCGCTCAGTTAGGGGGCTTCCTGTATGAGAAATCTTTTGGTTAGCATGCATGGAGTAGGGACCCGCTATCTAAGCAATGAGCAAGACAAGCGTGGATATTTGGGGACGGAGTTTATATTTGAGTTGTAGTTCTTCCCCAAGCTGAGAGGCGCACGCACTCTGCATCGGGACTTCACACAGTGGGGAGTTTCTCTTGCAGCCTCACCCATCTGTTGGTACTTTAAGATGGACTTTTAGAGGCTTCTGAAGCTGTCACAGGTTTAAATTCACCCTGTTTTCATTAATATTTGTGACGTTTGTCCCTCATTCTTAACCTTAGTCCCAGTTTGCTTCCCATTCAGCCTTTGTGCTTAAAGAATCCCCCTTGTGGCTTCAGCATAGCCCTGAGAGAGGAGGCAGCACAGAGCAGATCTGGCTACACAGTGCCAGCTCACTGACTGAAAATGTGGGTTCCTCTTTGGCCCCACAGATTGTAATAATATGTTCATTTCTTAGTCATATCTCTTCCTTTAAAAAATGAATTTGGATTTCTTTTCCAGCTTTGCCATTTCTGAAAAATACGGTGATTCTTCTCTATCCATTTGCACCTCTCATTCTGCTCTATGGGCTGTCACTCGCACTGGGATGGAACTTCACCCACACACTGTGTTCCTTCTACAAGTACAGAGTAAAATGAAAGAAGTGAGACTTACACCCTGTGTCAGCAGTATTGGTGAAGTGAATTCTTATGAAACTTGTAAGTAAACTCATTATAGATAGCTTAAAGGTGTAAAATTTGCAAATTTGAGGAAATATGTATGTTAACACTATTGTCAAATACATTCCCTAAAACTAATGTATGTTTCTACAATAAATATTTTTTAAACTAAAGCATATATTTTATTCATTCTGATAATTGCACAACCAGGAATGATATACAAAGTACTAAGAATATGAGGAAATTAGGAAGGTAAAACTATTTTTAACAGGAATTATTTTTGAGAGAACATGGTAATCATGTGCTTTCCCCGCTCCCACTGTTACGAGGCAGTCTGCCTCCATTGCTAAGGGGCTGTGGCCACATGACCTTAGTCCTTCCAAATCCTCATTTGTAACTCAAATAGGAGCCTCTGTACTGACAGGCCCTAGATATCATCAATAGCATCTTCCATGCAAACAAAATACTTAAGAGTCAAGGGGCCCATCGTGGCTGCTCTAAATTTGGGTGCTGTATAAAGCACGTACTGTGTGAGCACACACCTGCACAGTGTGGGTCATCACTGTCTTAACACTAAGGGTTTTTTTCTTAAAGAGTTTCTAAAACCCACACAGAAGAGCCACTTCTATTTTCTAACTGAAAATAGCTTATTATATCAGTGTTAAAACCAATAAAAATCTGCTGCTCACTAGTCTTGCCTATTTCTGTTAGGAATCTTGAATTCAAAATGGCTTTTTAAACTTATTTCAAATATGCAGGAGTGACTGTGACACAGAGAAACAGTGATGAAAGGCACCAGCCACAGGACCACTTACTGGGTTTTCATTTAGAGCAGCAAATTTGAAAACAACCTTCCTTTGAAAATCAAACAGGTACCTAAAATATTACTACAGATGTTACGCATTCAATCAGTGAAGACACTATAAGGAAATACATACATTTAAAGAGGAAAAAACTGGTCCAGCCTGGAAAAGCAGTTCCTCGGGCAGCCTATCTAAGGGCTGCTTCCCGAAACGCCCCAAGCGAAGGCCGCCCTCCCGGTGTTCAGAGTTCTTGGCGAGGAACACTTGACCTTTTCATTCCATACATGAATCATAGTTATGTTTACTCAGCAGATTTCTAAATCTTCCTTAGAAAATCTTACTGTCCACGCAGAAGGTCCTGGGTTCGCACCCCAGGTGGAGCCACGGACCATACCCTGGGTGCGCCAGGCTCTGGGTGCACACTGCAAGCAGAGGAGACACCCTGCTTTCAGAGATCTAGTTCTTAAAGGGAAACGGCAAAATCCATGAGTCAGGGGTGGAAATGGGGGCGGGGATTAAAGGGGGGGGAAAAAAATCTTACTGTCCATACTGAAATGCATCTTACAGTACTGTTGAGACCAGCCATTTTAAGGCTAAGAGAATATGTCTTCAAAAGGTATTTTCACCGTTTCCATGAACACCGAGCATTTCAAATAAATCATAGAATGCTAATCAAACTAAAGTACCAACCTTTGATTCCAGGGCAGTTTGCTAATTACTACACCATGGAACAACTCGGAGACACATGAATCAGCCTCCCTAATGTCCAAGAGTGTAAATTTTCCCCACAACAACCCACCCTAATTTCAGCACACTATTCATAACATTTTTACAGCAGCACTGACACTGGGAATGGTAGTTAGCACAGTTCTTTCCATTCAACACATTTCGACTCTTGCTTTGAATCCAAGTCCTGCTGCCAGCCTGAGAAAACTCTGGTAAAGGGCCCACACGAAGGTTAGCTCCCTGGGGGAATCAGTCACAGTCACATTCCCAGGTTCTGCCCACACTCACACCAGGTTGTTGGGGGTCATGCACAGGATGCAGGCTACTCCAGATACACAATTGACATTAATTAGGGCCGTCTCCCCAAACACTGTTCCATAAAGCCAAACTTGTCTTCGGGAACAGTTGTTGGGAGAAAAATTTTTTTCATTATATTTAAAAGAAGCTTTTTAAAAAAGATTTTTAAACAACAACACTTTCTACTTGTTTACTGGTGCAGCCATCGATTTGAAAAGCCACTTGTTCAAAGGTGTCTCCAGCGGTTGAACAAATACACACATTTGCCTATAACAGACACGTGCCTGCATACTGAATAACCCATCTGCATTTGCTTTTTCCAGAGCTTTTCAATCTCGCTACCTCACACTGTGCTCTTTTTGTCTACTGAGTCTGGCGCAAGGCACACTGTAAAGAACACGAGAGTAACAACAAAGAACAGAAATCCTGGCTCTCAGAACCCTACAGAAAGAGGTCCTCAACCTTCTCACCCAAAATACTCAACATCATTCGCATTATGATAGATTCTGCATGTCTGCTTTTAACCTAATAATCAGAATTCATTACTCTGGATTCTAAAATGTCTGTAGCACTCTTGACACAGTGTGGCCAATGAAAGTCTGCAGCGTTCTACACCTGTGCAGCCCAGTCCAGTGGCCACATGTGGCTATCGAGCACTTGAACTGTTACTAGAGTGAGGGAGGAGCTCAAGATTGATTTATAGAGCCACCACGTGTCTAGTGGTTACTATACAGGACAGCACACACCAGACGCTACACCATGCCTCATTTACTTACACAGTAGTCCCATCATTTGACACTTTCCCACTCACTGTTATGGTAAAAGTGGTTCCCTCAAGGTCAAGAATTTACTTTCAGTTACAGGGCCCTTCTCCTGTGACCTCCTTCCCCACACCTCACTCCCTCACAGGACGCTCACAGGCTACTGTTGTCGCATCTTGCTTAAGGAAAGCATGGCTGCTTCTGCCTAGTGTGGAGCTCAGGAAGGAGAGCGCCTCCGACGGTGGGACTTAGAGCCCCTGCTGGATAAAAGAACAGATGAGAGCAGGGCCTCAGGAGCTTGTGGTTTGGTGAGAACACGCATGCACACCCCATAAGCAATCAAAACCTTGGAGTCAAGTGTGTGTGGCAAAAACTAGGTAAAGGGAGTTAAGACAGGAGTGTGGCTGGAACCACTTGTTCCTAGTCTGGACGCCGCCTGGCACCTGCCTTTGTGCTAGGCATTACTGTTGACGCTACTAGGCACTGGTAACGAGCTCATGGCGAGCTGTGCATGAGGGTCCTTGACAGGAGGGCAAGGTCTGGCTAAAGTATCCTCAGGAAATAGGAGGGGTGAGCGGAGGTGGGAGGAAACAGCAGGAAAACAGGAAATGGCTCAGTCTAAAGACCTAGACACCCCAATGAATGGCAATGGGCTGCAATAACTGTCACCTCCCTGGATTTTCAGAGTATGGCCTTACCTCCTGAAATCAGTGTTGGCTACTTAGGAAGCAGGGACACAAGGGGTCTTAAAACCTACCTCCAAATTTTTACCTCTCATACTTAGTTGTTATTACAGTAACTTAGTAGGTTAAGCTGGTGCCAAAATTTTATGATGAAAGGTTTTTTTCAAATGAAATGTACCTGGAGGCCAAGGGAATTTGGAAGAAAATAAACAGTAAAGAAAATGAAAATCTTAAAAATCCCAATAAAAAACTAACTGGAGTTTGATGTAAAAATCCTTATTGCCAACATGTGACTTTTTAATCAAGAAAAGTAACGAAAAATTATTCTGACATGGAGTGATGGAAATAACTGTGCCCCACCAGTGTTCCCAGCCCTTTTCACTTCAAAATGCGTACAGAAACAATGCTGTCTGGGAGCCATCAGCTCAGCATAGGTGACAGGATGGGGCTCCTCCCTGCTCACGGAAGCTGGCTGGAGCCTCTGGTGCCAGACTGCTGTGAAAGTTCAGGGGAACGTGCATCTGTCACCCACTGCAGCCCACCTGAGGCACGCCAGGCTGGCTGGGAGCTGATGTCGATAATTCAGAATTTTATAAAAGTAGAATACTTTTGAAAAGATTACTGATTGCTAAGGCTGATAATGTTTTTGTCTACAGTACTAACATTTGGAACTGCATGTTTAACAGTACTACTCTTTGGATATGAATTTACTTGTAAGTTCTAATGCAAAAGAATAAATCATTTTGGAAAAACATACAAATGCTACAATACCTTTCACCAAAACCCAATATTACAATTGTGTTTTTAAAATTAAATCAGTCATGACTCATACAGTAGCATCATCTAGAGAACACAGAACTCATAAAATGAGCACAGATATATAAGGATGAACAAGAAAAGAGATACAACATCTACCTCGTGGATTAAATACAAAGATTAAAAAAGATGAGTTTGTCATCTTACATATCAGAGGAAATATAATGTGTTAGGTAGGTCTATGATAGTTTGGGTTAAGTGCATCACTACTGCGCATTAAAATTTATCAGACTGATTTTTTGTGGGCTATATACCATACAAAGTACAGTAGAATAAGCCTCAAGGACATTAGTCTTTAAAATCTTGGCTATCAGGAATGACAAATGCCTTCGAAAAGATTTTGTTCAGACTGATTACAGCAGTCCCCCTTTACCCATGGGGGACACGTCCCAAGACCCCCCGTGGATGCTTGAAACCGTAGACAGTACCGAACCCTATATATAGTTTTTTTCCTATATGTATACACCTATGATAAAGTTTAATTTATAAATTAGGCACAGTAAGAGTTCAACAACTAATGATAAACTAGAACAATTACAGTGTAATACGTTATGTGAATGTGATCTCTTTCTCAAACTATCTTACTGCACTGTACTCACCCTTCCTGTTATGATGTGAGATGCTACATGCCTACATGATGAGGCAGACACGCTGGACAAAGGGACAATTCATGTCCCAGGTGGGATGGAGTGAGATGGCACGAGATTTCATCAAACTACTCAGAATGGTACACAATTTCAAATTTATGAAGTGTTTATTTCTGGAATATTCCATTTAATATTTTTGGATCACAGTTGACTGTGGGTAACTGAAACCGCGGGAAGCAAAACCACAGACAAGGGGAGGGATGACTGTAAAAAGCACCCCAGTTAGGGAATCATCTACAATCACTCTTACATGGCAGTGCATCTGAAAAATGGCATTAATTTGTCATGTTCGCATTTCCAAAGAAACATATAGAAAGAACTTAAAAAAGCAAGGTAACTGGTTTTCAAAAAAAGTATTGATTCAAAAATTTACTGCACAAAAATAATGTACTTCTTAAGTGTTTCTAATAAATTAACTCCATAACATTTTTATGTATATT